GACCACTGACGACCTCTTTCGCCACGAATGTGGCTCGCTACGGACTGGCTTGTTAGACCCGTTTTTTTATGAGTTCAAAATATTTAAACCCGACTCGCAAAAATATGGACTGGTTCATGAACCAGTCTACGAGACGCAGCTCATTTTACATCCCTATATATATCCATAAGAGATGAGCGAGACCTAATGTTTGGAAAAAAAAAACAGTTAATTTTAAAAGTTCGGACTCCATACAAAAAGCTCTGAAAAAATCTTAGCAATATCACAGATATTATTTTATTAATAATAAAAGAAAAATCTTTTATCTACACGACATTTTCAGGTTCTTTCATTGATAGCGTCATAATGTAATTTTTTTTATTTAAATCATTACTTGTGTAAATGATAAATATATTTGATTGGAGCGAGTTTTTTTTTAAGGCTATTACATTATAATGTATAAAACTTTCCATATATTAATATATAAGTATAGTCACGTGCACAACACAACGTGTTGGGAGAACTTGGGAAGCCCAAGATCTGTTTGGAATTAAAGGTGTATTATATGCTCTAAAAGAAATGTCTTCCTTCTCACTCCAAATCTTCGACCAATATTTTTGTCTCTGTTCACACCGGAAATAAATAAGAAGAAAGTATATACTCTCTCTCTCTCTCTCTCTCTCTCTCTCTCTCTCTTCTTCTTCATTTTCTTTCCCATTTTTCTCTCCACCCAAACAAGTTCTGGGGCTGTAGGCTTCCACTTCTTCCACACCCTGTGTGTGGAAACCGCGTGGAAATGATCATCCTTTGTGGATAAATGTTCCTCAGATCTCTCTTCCTTTCCCTTTGCAATCTGATTTTCCCTCACTTTCCCTCTCATTTTCCTGTCTCCCAAGCGTACAAGCTACTTCTCCTTCACAAACACTGAAATTAGCCCTAATCACGATTCTTCTCCTTTGCTCGTAAATCTCCTGTCTTCTCTTGTTTCTGATCATTTTCAGCCTTTGACCGTTTCGATTTCGTCCTGATTCTTTAGACTTCTCTCTGATTGTCGACGTTACAATTAGCAGCACCTCCGAACTTGCAGGTACTGCTCGTAGTTCTCGAAATTTCGTTCTACATTTGCAAATTCCATGTTTGGATGTGTTGCATTAGCGATGTTGAGCCTAAAGTTCCCGCCTTTCCTCTTCAACATTGGTCGAAGAGTCGATACATGATTTAGGTTGATGGGGTTAGATTCAGCTGAAATTCGGTCGCTTTAAGCTTTAATTCAGACACCCATTTCGAGTTTTTTGCTTATCACAGTAGTTTTCTAGTTTCGATTTCTAGTTCTGTAAGGTTCTCCCGCATCTGTTTGTCGTTTTCTTTGTTCTTACAAAGTAGATATTGATGTTCAGATGGCCTCCGGAGTTCAATTTCTCTGGAAATTGAGCTAACGCCTTTTATGATTCACCATAGATTTCATTCTTGTTGCTGATGTTAGAAAATCTCTTAATAGGTGACGCATTTGATCAATTTATCTAGAAAAAAAACATGATGGGTGGAAAATCCAGCAAGAAGAAGAACAGGGAAGAAGATTCCCCACAAACGCCAGTGCAGATCAATATAAAATCCGAGTACACCGAGCATCTGAGCTCGTATGAAACGGCTTGTAGTCAAGACCCCGAGTTACAGTCCTTTGACTCGGCACTTCAAGAACGCACGAACCGAGTCATCAACAAGCTAGCAGCGGGAGTGGAGGTCAGATCCCTGTCGTTTGACTCTCTCAGAGAGGTTACACAATGTCTGCTCGAGATGAACCAAGATGTCGTCAAGGTTATCTTGCAAGGCAAAGAAGACATATGGAACAACCAGGAGTTGTTTTCTCTGGTGAACTTGTATTTCGAGAGCAGTGCCAAGACGATGGATTTCTGTTCTGCCCTCGAGAATTGCCTGAAACGTGCGAGGAGGAGCCAGGTGATTATTCAGTTTGCCGTTAAACAGTTTGAGGAAGAAGATGGTGAGAACAAGAAATATGTGAAGACACTAGAGGATTTGAAGAGATTTAAAGAAGAGGGCCAGCCCTTCACGGAAGAGTTCTTTGTTCTTTTCGATTTGGTTTACAGACAGCAGGTTTCAATGCTGGAGGAACTCCATAAACAGAAGAGAAAACTCGATAAGAGACTAAAGATGATCAAAACATGGAGAAGGGTATCGAACGTGGTGTTTGTTACGTGCTTTGTCTCTGTCTTGCGGCGCCGCCAGTCGTGGCAGCGATAGCCGGTGCATTGGCTGTTCCAGTAGGTTCTGTCGGGAAATGGTGCAACTTTCTTTGGAAGAAGTACGAGAAAGTTGTTCGTGGGCAGAAGGAGATCATCACATCGATCAAAATAGGGACATATATAGCGGTGAAGGACATGGAGAATATCCGTGTCCTAGTGCATAAACTGGAAGTCGAGATTGAGTCTTTCTTGAAGAAAGCCGAGTTTGCTGTAAACGAAGAAGAGGTGGTGAAACTTGCAATAGACGAGATAAAGAAGAAGCTAGATGTATTTACAGAAACCATCGAGGAACTCGGTCACCAGGCATCAAAGTACTGCAGCGATGTCACAAAGGCGAGGACCGTGATTCTTCAGAGGATAATCAAATATCCAACAAGATCGGCGGGCGAAGAATCTACCTGGTAAGAACCCTTTTACTCTGATGACTAGTAGTATGGATGGATGAAACATGATCATCTGGTTCTATAATGGTTTCTGATTGGTGTCGTTGGACTCTGGTTGTGACCAGGACGGACATGATGTCTTGAAGATGTTGGTTTCAAGCTATATGCCTCAGACACGCCATGGAAGGCTCTTCTTTTTTTCTCGTCCTTTGGCTCATCTTTGATAAACTGCTAAGGGATCTAGAGTTTACTAAAAGGAGAGGCTTTTGTAATAGTTAGTAAGACTAGTCCTACATATATATATATGTGTCTGTGGGTGAGACCAGATGCCTTGGGTTGGTATTTACGGTCTTGCCATCCCACTCCTCTTTTATGCACTTTTGTTACTTTTAAGAAAGAGCCGTCTTAATAGTGATTGCCCGTCGACGGATGGATTGTATTTTTACATTTTATCATGTTTGATTTTCAACTAAAATTATACTTATATATCTGTATATAATATATATATATATATGGTATATATAGAGGATGTAACGTCCATGGAACATGAGAACTGCGCCTTGCAGCTAAGATTCTTGCGCGATTACCGAAGCAATGGATTTACATTTAAGACTATCCTCTCTGAAGCAACGGAAGCATGATGACGCACTTTAAATTTGAACGAGAAATAATAATAGTAATAATAATTAAAATCGAGTTACTCGCTAAGCACAGATGTCATCGTCCGTTGACCTGACGGCTTACATATAAAACTCCACTCAAACATGAAGCCCACAACAAGAAGAACAACTACAATGGAAGCTCAAACCTTGATCTTGTCTCTCGTCTTCTCTTTCTTCATCTCTCTCGCGTTCTTGTTCGGAAGAAGCATCAATCGCAAACGCTACCTTCCATTTCTGCGTCTGCGTCTGATCCGCCGCGGGTCGTTCACGGACAGGGCAGACAAGCACGGCTTCTTCGACTCCGACACGGACTTCGATCTCAAGTCGTACATAACCCAAAAGGCTGAATCCTTCGACAAGTCCCTCGACGAGGCCGTGCCTCTCGTGGAGACGCTCAAGATCCACGCGGCAATGCAAGAAGAACAACTACAATGGAAGCTCAAACCTTGATCTTGTCTCTCGTCTTCTCTTTCTTCATCTCTCTCGCGTTCTTGTTCGGAAGAAGCATCAATCGCAAACGCTACCTTCCATTTCTGCGTCTGCGTCTGATCCGCCGCGGGTCGTTCACGGACAGGGCAGACAAGCACGGCTTCTTCGACTCCGACACGGACTTCGATCTCAAGTCGTACATAACCCAAAAGGCTGAATCCTTCGACAAGTCCCTCGACGAGGCCGTGCCTCTCGGGGAGCCGCTCAAGATCCACGAGGCAATGCGTTACGCTATCCTCGCCGGCGGCGAAAGGGTTCCGCCGGTGCTCTGCCTCGCCGCCTGCGAGCTCGTGGGTGGCGACATCTCCGCCGCGATTCCGGCGGCTTGCGCGGTGGAGATGATCCATACGACCTCCCTCATAAAGGATGACCTCCTCGGCAACGACGACCTCTGCCGCGGCAAGCCGGCGATCCACAAAGTCTACGGAGAGAGCGTCGCCATTTTAGCCAGCGGCGCGCTCTTCTCCTTGGCCTTCGAGCACATAACGGCGGAGACGCCGGATACGGTGGCTCCGGAGAGAATTGTCAGCGCGGCGAGGGAGCTTGCGAAGCCCATCAACGCACACAAGGCGGCGGCGTTAATGGAAGCAGCGGCGGTCGTGGGGGCGATAGTGGGCGGTGGATCCGATGAAAAGATCGAGAAAGTTCGAAACTTTGGGAGGTGTGTCGGGTCGTTGATTGAAGGGGCGGACGATGTGACGAGGTCGTCGGAGAAATGGGGGGAAATCGCGGGAAAAGATCTGGTCGCCGACAAGCTGACGAATCCGAAAGTGATGGGTCTGAAGAAGACGAAGGAATCAGCCGAGAAAGTGAAGAGAGAAGCGCGGGAACATCTTCAAGGGTTTGATTCGGACAAGGTGGCTCCTTTGTTGGCTCTGGCTGATTACATCGCCACTAGACATAACTGAAGTGCCTAAATTGCAATTAATGTGACCCTTTTCTGATCTCAATGTATTTGGACTCAATATAATTTCGAATTGAATAGAATCAAATTTTAAAAATAACTGTCAATAAAAACTACAATACTTTAACAAATAAACTCAAAAATAAAAATAGATATGAGTATAAATTTTAAAAAGTCTTAAAATCCAAAAAAAAGGGTCAAACGGAACTCAAACCGAAACCACGTAGATAAATTAAAGTCTTAGTTTCAGATAGAAAATATTTTTATAAAATTAATTATTATAATCTACATTATTTATATATATAGTAAAAGAATCTTCATTTCATCTGCAACCGTCAATTAGTGTATCATCATGACATCATTCATACGCTAGTGATGATCTTTTGGATATATAAACTCAACAATTATATGGATGGATTATATTCCTTGGGCCCACTTAATCCCTCTAAATCCGGAATCAATTTTGAATCACCATTTTCCAAATATATATATATATATATCAATATATACTCGTCGCCTTTTCGTTCGGCCGATTTATCCCATCGGGAATTTTGCTTTCCAATTTTCGTTAGCTTGTTTATTACTGTATTGGGTAATCACGTATATGGATGAGGGATCTTACTTTTATCTCATTCCCTCTATAAAAAAAATAAGTGAAATAAATAAATTAATGGTGTATAATTAATGGCTAATTGTATCCGTCCCTTGTGGAATATGCGTGTCTCGTGGCATCGGCGCAAGCAGCGTGGAACTCCAGGATGCTGTCTTTGTTCTTGTCCGATATTCTCAAAGCTATCTTTGCATATTGAAATTGCCGATTTGAATATGCAACATAATTCCTTCGTTTTAAAAAATTAGCAATCTCTTGGTTTTGATTTTACAAAAAGACGAACGATTAAAATGCTAATATGGAAAAAAAAATATTTGAATACAAAATTAGCTTTTGCCCAATTAACTAATTTTGTAATGTTAATTATGAGTACATGTTAGAGTATGTTTTTCATTACAAAAAAAAAGCAAGATTGTTTGGAAGAGGTAGAAAATCATCTTATTAGATATCGCGATATCTCACTTGAGAAAAATAAATGATAACACATTATAATTTAATTACGTTATTAAATTAAAACTTTGAAATCTTCAAAGCCATGGAATAAAGATCTGGATAGAGATTGAGAGAGATGACAACACTTTGTTTGCATACGTCACTCTCGGCCTCTAATCCCTAATGCTTATTAAGAGAATTGAAACGTCGAAAATATTTAATTTCAAATTTTATAAAATATTTGTTAGAATTTATTTTCGTTTATTATTTCGCTTGAGAGGATATTATTATGAAGAGCAAATATAGATAATGGCATAACAAATTTCAAAACATTAGAAAAAGGCGTTATGCAATTAGAAATTATGGGTAAAATCTCATTCAATGTATATATAATCAATTAGTCATTTTTCGCATGCTCACATTAAGCGTGCTAAGACGGCCAAAAAAAAAACATGACCTAAGCATCTGTATAATTAATTAATCGTTGTTTGTATCCATCAATCAATTTCAATTTAATTGGGCCCGAGACCATGTTGGCCTTTTGCCACGTGTCATGTATTAACTGGCTGAATTCAGCAATAGGGAAATACCACTGCCTCCCACACATTTGGGGCGTCTCGAACCTTCAAATTAACTTTTTTTAATTAATAGATTATTTTGAATTAAAATCTAAACTAATTTTGAAGATCGAAAACTAATTATATAATTTGAATTATATAATTTTTTTTCCAAATTTAAGATTCAAATTAGAGGCAAAACAAATATTTTAGATCTCGTTTTATGATTTGAACTATTTAAATTGAAATATAAAGTTAAAATTGTAACGAAGAAAAAGTACAAAGGTTTTAAGAAATTTTAACTTATTTTTCTAAAATAGCTTATTTTTATATGCAAATTCAGATTATTTTTAAAACATTACGTTTATCAACCAATAATTATCCTTTGATTTTATCTAAACTTAATATTGCGAATCCGTAATTAAGTAAAAAGCAATAAATAAGTGAAACAGATAATATGTGGCGACACGTTCGCGTAAACGTAAACAGACTTTTCCTAATTCCCGTTTCTTTGCTGAGTTGGCGGCGTAATCAAATTTGGCTGTGAGATTACCTTTTAAAACAACAAAATACCATAATAAATATATTTAGATTAACATAAACTAAATAAACGTATTCGTTATGATATGATCGGACGGCCCTGGATGTGCCGCACTCCTTCCCAATACATATCCAAACCACGTGTACGCTCGTCAGCTGCCATAATCTCCGAATTTCTCGCGGAATATTCGGGAAACAACGGACACAGTTGAATTTATCGCGAACGCATCGAGATATCGTTCCAGGATTTTTTACGTTTATCGTCTCCTATGGGCTACCTATATAAGACATTTTCCCTTTTGTTCATTCGTCGCAGCTCGACATCTCTTTTTTTTTCTCTCTATAATATTGGTATTATTTTTATTTTTTATTGTTGGTTTTTCTCTCTTCAAATTTTCTCGGAAAATATTTGGCAATGGCGATGAGGAAGCCCCTGACGCAGCAGCGTCTCTTCAACATCTCGAAGATGGCGTCGCAAAGCCTCATGAACTGCCGTATATCGTCGTCTTCGTTGGCCGTGAGGACCCGGATTCCGAAAGATCCCGGCGAATCCGATATTGTTCCGGAGCCAGGAGATAGCGGCGTTATCCGGAGGTTTCTGCATCAGAGTTCCATGATTCGGCCGGATATCCTGAAGACGCCGATGGGAGGGAATCTGATTGAGAAGCTCCGGGAGATGGATTTGCTGGGGGAACGGATGCGTTTAGAAGGACTTGCTCAGCCGGTGAAATCTGCCGCGGCAGTTTCCGAGGAGATGACGGCGGCGGGGCTGACGGTGGAGGACGCCAGGAAGTTTCTGAGAGCGGCGCAGATCGAGGCCGTGAAATCGAGGCTGAGAGAGACCGGGAGGAGCTGGATTCCGTACGCGGAGTTCGTCCGCGTCTGTGGAGAAGCATGTTCCGACTCCGATCAAGGATCGCAGATCGCGAAGATCCTGGACGATTCCGGAAACGTCATCGTTCTGGGAAAATCGGTCTGCCTCAGGCCTGATCAGGTAGTTTGTTCGTTTCCCTGACCTTTTACCATCTCAAATCTTCTTCTGCAATTTGGTTCAATCTCTCTGTGTTCTCTGAATCTGCAGCTGTTTGCCACAGATTAATACATTAGTTTATACCGAACGCGTATAACCTTGAGTTGAGAGAGATGAAACTCTCTGGAAAACCTAGGTTACCAAAAGTTTTTCTTTCATTCGATTATGATTTGAAAGCTACCGAAAACTGATACGGTTTTTTACGGGTGTATTTCTTTCTTGTGCTTCCGATTCAACAGGAGATTGAAACCTCTGTAACCAGAGACCTGTAGGAGATTCTCCCAGTTTGAGGTGGTGATAAGGAGGATCGGTTTCTACGAATACGAAGACCACAACTTTTTTGCACCATTTTTAACCCCCTCAAAACCTTGGGTTGGAAAGGCTTATGGGTCATCTCAAAGCCTTTCCATCTCTGGATGATTTGATCTCGATACCCAGATGAAAGTTTTGCAATAAGTGAGAATGAGAGCTTGACAAATGATGGGTCATATGATGGTCTGAAACTAACAGCGTGTTAGGAATGGAAAAATATCAAAGAGGATTTTTTGGGTTTGGGTTTAGGCAGAGGAGTAGTTGTTCTCTGTATTTGGTTCCTTGACAGTAGCAGAATTCGTAAGCTTCATTGAGGAAATAGGCTTATCAAGGATTTGGATTTGGGGTAGAGGTTGTCCTGTTCGTTTTAAGTTAGGAGCTCCCGATTCAGTTTCTTTCTTTTCTTCTCTTTTCTTTTTTCTGAATCCGGTTGATGGGGATTGAATCAATTCATTGACCAGAATCATTGTTAATATAGCTGTGTTCTGTGTGTTTGAGTGCTAACTCTGTCCAAAGTAAAGCCTGGAAGAGATGGTCCGAGTCTTGTTTTACCCAGAAGTTTTTGTTTTTTTCTTTGCTCTGTGTCTGAACAGGTCACGAAATCAATTGAAGGCCTACTTCCTCTTCCGCACGTTCACAACCCGAACGACCCCAGAAGGAAAGAGCTCGATGAGCTTGAAGCAAAGAAAGCCGTGATCGACAAGAAAGCAGGTGCCATGGTCCAGAGAGAGCTCTGGGCTGGTCTTGGTTACTTGATCCTCCAGACCGCTGGGTTCATGAGGCTCACCTTTTGGGAACTCTCGTGGGACGTGATGGAACCCATCTGCTTCTACGTCACGTCCGTTTACTTCATGGCCGGTTACGCCTTCTTCCTCCGGACATCGAAAGAGCCATCTTTCGAAGGGTTTTACCAGAGCCGGTTCGAAGCCAAACAGAGGAAACTGATGAACCGTCATGAGTTCGATGTCGGCAGGTACGAGGAGCTGAAGAAGCTGTTTCACCCCAAGGCTTCATCTTCTGCTGCCCCTCAGATTGCCGGTGTTCTCCCCAATCAATTTTGATTTACTCCATATGATCTGATCGAAACCATTACAATGGTTGTCTGATTATCCTGACCGGAGCTTATCCTCTCTACCCCCCAAGCAAAAAAAAAAATGAATAGTTATAGGTGAAATTTAATTTCAATATCTTTGATATTATAATAACGTTTTGTTCGAGTAGGTGCGGCTACAGAGACATCCCGGAAGAGTATGTTCTTATTTCCATTTCTCTTTTTATCTGTTGTGTTTTTTTTTTCCGTGACTGCGCATGTGACCGATCCAATACGTTGTGATCGCTCATCAATCACGGTTTATTTGTAACACAAAATTAATAAAAAAAACTGATAAATGATCAGTATTAACCATATATACGTAATCTATAATCGGACAAATATTTGAGTAGGGAAATTTTATTACGGGGCCATGGTACATGACTATAACCATTTTGCGTTTAGGGATATGTTACATGGAGATAGCATGCAAAACACATGGGTGAAAAGGTTCTTGCCATCTTTGAGTTTCATAATTCCACGACGACTTTAGATTACTATTAATGAAATGTTGGTTTTGGCAGGTGAGACTCACGAGAGAAGATGACACTAGTTGAAACGTGTGAAACTTTGTATTAGTATATAGCATTGGACCGACTTTTAATATTTTGTAGACCATATCGGTACGCCAAACAAATAAATTCGTGACCCCGCGAGGAGATTGCAAAATAATGGCGGATTACCACGTTTATGTCGGAAAATACCGTTGATACACGTGAATCTGTCGTAAAAAATAATATGGGTAATCAATTAATTTACCAAAAAAATAATATGGGTAATGTATTTTTATATAATTTTATAATAATCTTCGTATTGATCGCCCGGCGCGCGTTCCCATAAGGAAGACGCTAACCTAACCCTCTTTTTCGTCCACAAGTTTATTCTTTTATAATTTCCCACTTGATTTTTTTATTCATATTTTTTAAGAAAAAAAAGGAGGATAAAAAAAACTTTTTTTTAAAATCAAATTGACTGCAATCTCATCGAATCCTTTGAGTCCATCATATTCCGGAACGGGAACAATGATCAACTTTGGTTGGCCCTTCAAACATCATCAATGTAATTCATTTCCACCACTCTTTGAATGGTTAAATTCGGACGTACGTCGACATCTTCATCACCCGTACGACATACCCAGTATACGTGTGACCAATGACGTTACGCCACGTAGTTCGCTCTCGTGGCCAACTTCCTCGGTTCATTTCGTAACAAATTATTACGGGTCCAAACCAAAAAACAACAGCAACAGGACACAACATAAAAAGGGCACACTCGAGAAACCAAGCAGAGCCACACACCACCGTCGGATCAATATTCACCGGTCAACAATGTCAACGGCTCTCAGCGCGTTGACCTACTACCTCTCCGAGCACCCATATATCGTTGGCTTCCGGTGGAGCCACGCCCAATCATTCGGCGCCACGTGGTCGTTCCTCTTCTCCTCCATCTCCGTCTACGTCGCTCTCTCCTCCACCCTTCACCTCCTCCTCCGCTTCCGCCGTCGCCATGTCCCCCTTGGCCACATCCCTGACCTCCACAGCCTCCTCATGTCCCTCATTTCCGCCGCCATCTTCGCCGGGACCCTAATATCCTCCGCCGCGGAGATCCGAGACACTCGGTGGCTCTGGCGCCGTAGCAAAACCTCCACGCCTCTCCAGTGGCTCCTCTGCTTCCCACTCGGGACTCGCCCTTCAGGTCGCGTCTTCTTCTGGTCCTACGCTTTTTACCTCACCCGCTTCCTCCACATGCTCCGTACGATATTCACCGTCCTCCGTCGCCGGAAATTGGGTTTCTTCCGGTTGTTCTGCAACTCCGCCGCCACGTTCATGGCGTTCCTATGGCTCGAGTTCTCTCAGTCGTACCAGATCCTGGCGATCCTGTCGGCAACGCTGGTATACGCGGTGGTGTACGGGTACCGGTTCTGGAACGGGTTCGGGTTACCAGGTTCCGGTTTTCTCCCGACATTCGTGGTGAACTGTCAGATGGTGTTAGTGAGCTGCAATCTGGTGTCACACGCGGGTGTTCTAACGGTGCACCTCCTCAAAGGAGGATGTAACGGGATCGGCGCGTGGGTTTTAAACTCCGTATTGAACGGTGCGATCTTGTTCCTGTTTCTAAACTTTTACGTGAAGATGCACTCTCAGCCGCAACGGAACGTCGAGACATGCGAGAGGGAGAAACACGTGTGGCGAGATAACTAAGCTGCATGAATGTTACAGAATCTTTTCTAAGTACGGTTCGTGAAGTTTGTGTAGGGTGGTCGATGAAAATGTTCATAGTCCTTTTTTTGAGTTAGATATTAAATGTGTAGCAGTTTAGATTTTTTCTTTTTTTTTTTATGGTTACAGTTGTAATTAATATCATGAATCGGTAAAGAGATTCACAAGGCCTGCCACTATTGTTAACAATAATTTTTTTGTTTGAACTATATATTTACATTAGAATACAATTATTTATACCAATGGTTTATATTGTATATAGAAAATTAAATTAAAAAATTTATGAAGTTGAAAATTTAATTTTAATATTTTTTAAATAAAAAGTAAAATTTTATGAATTAAAATTTGCATAATGAACCCGCAAATGTTTGAGATACTATGTATGATAAATATCACTCAATAAAAAATTGTGATCAAAGTGGGCAGAAATTTGACAAAGTGTATAAAAATTTGTATGTTCGTTGTAACGTATAAAAATCAGATTCCTGGTAATAAACATTTATCATTAGGGCTGGGCGTTTCGGTTCGGTTCTTCGGAACCGGACCGAACCGAACCGTTAAATCGGTATTTTTCCCGATCCGAAACCGCTGTTATTTCCTGAACGGTACCATTTTTAGAGAACCGAACCGAACCGAACTTTAAAAATCCCGAAAACCGAATATTTTTAAAAGAAATCTATCATTTTTTAATAAAACCAAAAACTGAACCGAATCGATACCGAAACCGAACCGAACCGAATACAATAAAAAACACTATTGGTACCTATTTTTGTAAAACCGAAAGAATCAAACCGATCTATTCTATCCCGAACCTGAACCGTTTCCCGAAACACCGACCCCTATTTATCATGATACCGACAATCCATTCAACAAGGGCTTTTCGTATAAAAATCTGATTTCTAGTAATAAAGATGAATCGCAATACCTGAAATACGTAAGATGTTTTTTTTAATACGTATGATGTTACAGGTATCAAAAACTCAAATCATAACATTGAGAATGTATTATGTAAATATTCAAAACTCTTTGAGTGTATAATTAATGAGAATGATGGGTTTCAACAAGTCGTGGTGTATAGTATCATCCGATGTGACGGAAGTCCAATCACGATACATACTAATATTTTCTTTGCATCATCAGTTGATTTGTAATAATAATAATAATAATAATAATAATAATAATAATAATAATAATAATAATAATAATAATAATAATAATAATAATAATAATAATAATAATAATAATAATAATAATAATAATAATAATAATCGGGTGGTCAGGGCGGAGGTGTTAGATTTATTTGTCAACATGCGTGGTCGGTCCTTTGACGTGTGTATAATGCTACACGCTTACGTCAATGATCAAATTCCAAAAGCCACATTCCAATTAATTCATTTTCTGTTCGTAGCTCGTTTTCTTATACTTTATCGACTGTATGTATATATTAATTATATGAATATATAACGTTATCTTTCTTTTTTATTTCCATATATAAATGTTGAATAGCGTTGTCAGATATGGGTGTTATAGTAGCAGTTATTTGACATGAAACTTTGTATCCTTCCTTTCTCCTGCTGCATGCACTTCAAATTTTGTCGTGTATATATATATATATATATATATATATATATAATATGATGTGTAATAAATGTTTGACCATTATCATGAATTAAAAATTTTAAAAAATAAATTGGTACTGCGATATTTAAAAGCCCACAATCTTGGGCTTTTTATGGGCTAGCGTCCATTTTAAAATCTAATGGCTTAAAAGCCCATGGTTTTTTTAATTCTTTTAGAAGAAATTTAATTGTGCTTAAAGGAAAATCTGATTATATTAGAACAGAAAGTGAGAAATGTCAGAACAGCCTGGAACTTTCCTCCGCATTGAAGGTTCCACCTTTTTTTTTTTTTTTCAACAGTCCGGTTCTTTGATTTCTTCCATTGGTGCCGTCGAATTTTCTAAGTTTTAGGGTTCTTCCTGCGATTTTTTCCGGTTCTAGCGGCGTTCGGTCAATCGGTTTCGCGGAAGAGGTAGGCAATTGTTCGTCTCTCTGTTTTTTCTAATCTTTCGATCTAGATTTTAGGCCTATTTAATGCTCTGCACTACTTTTTTTTTAAAAAAAAAATCCAGCGATTAAATTGTTGATTATCTATCAGAAGATCTTTGGGTTTTCGTTGTCGATTAGCGTGTAATTTTGGTGTGCCGTGGGGTCAAGAACGTGGGATTCTAGATTTTTAGGGTTCTGCCTACTTTCTGATGCGACTCGCTCGATACCCTAATTTGGGAATTTGGTTGATATCATCCTGGGTTTAGGGTTTGTAGATTTGTAGGCGCTGAATCAGGCTGCACTTTTAAGTATCGAATTACCAATCGTCACGTTGTGGGAGTTTACAACTTCTGGATTGTTTGTCTGATTTGCAGGGATTTTGAAATTGAGATTCACATAAGAGAAAGAGGATGGTGAATGGGGAGTCCACAAGCATGCCTTCGGAGAGCGCGTCTTGTTCGAACAATAACACAAACGACCAGGGAGACTTCGAATGTAACATCTGCTTCGAATTAGCTCAAGACCCGATTGTCACTCTCTGTGGCCACCTCTTCTGCTGGCCTTGTCTCTACCGTTGGCTTCACCACCATTCGCATTCACAAGAATGCCCGGTTTGCAAAGCTCTTGTCCAAGAGGATAAGCTCGTACCCCTCTACGGGAGAGGTAAAAACCAGTCCGACCCGAGATCGAAATCATACCCGGGCATGCAAATTCCTAACAGACCGGCCGGTCAAAGACCTGAAACTGCTGCTGCTGCTCCTCAACAAGAACCGAATAGCTTTTTCAGTTATGGGTTTGGCTCGATGGGCGGGTTCATGCCCATGGCAACTACCAGGATTGGGAACTTTACTATGGGGATTGGTGGGTTGTGGCCATCTCTGTTCAACTTCCAGTTCCATGGGTTTCCTGATGCCACCGTCTATGGCTCAACCTCGGGTTACCCATATGGCGGCTTCCACCAGGGTTTACGTGGTGGTGTGGGCATTCATGGTCATGGATATCCGAACAATCACCCAATGGCTCGTGGAGGACACCAAGCGGATGCAGCCCTGAAGAATCTCTTCATAATAATTGGTATCTGCGTGATAATGGCATTGGTTTTCTGGTAAACAAATTTGTCATTCGTCGTTCCAGATCAGGTATGGTGAATTTTCAGCTTTTCGATTTGAGTGAGTTGTGCCTGTAAATGTGTTTAATAGTTGAGTTAGCAGATGTTTTTACTCCTTCGACAGAAGAATCTCGATCTAAAAGGTGTTATGGAACACTTTTTTCTTTCTGGTTTCTGTATTTGTCTCATGTCTTCCGAGAAGATTAATTGTAATACATAGATTACATAAGGTGATGCTATCTGGAATGGGTAGTTGGGGCAAAATTCGAAGAGACTCATGACACAAAGCCTTTGGTTGCGTCCGCATTGTCTCCGTAGTTGTCTTCTTCGTGTGTATGGTTCTTGTTCATGAAGGAGCTGTAGTAGATATACTGCAATATGATCTGTTGTGATTTCGGGTGAATATTGCATCAAAGGTTCTATTTTCAAGATTCCTGCT